GAGGCTGATGATGCTGCTGATGATGACGGCCGAGAAGATGATAATGATTTCGTTGGCGGTGCTAGTAATGGTGATGTTGATGAGTCTGAAAATGATAATGATGCTGTTGGTTGTGATGATAATGAGGAGGATGGTGTAAACGATGATAAAGATAGTGATGATGATGATGATGATGACGATCCACTAAAGGGAGATTCAAGTCCCGCTGGGAACTGGCATTTGAAGTGACATTTTGAGGGGTTCGCTGCTGCAGAACGCGAGACGAGTTCACGTCGACCCTCCCTCCAGACGCATGTTTGCGTTGTCCACACTCAGCTCCGGCTGATCCCACTCGCCACGTTGATTGTGTTCCTCTTGTTTGTTTGTCATTTCGCCGAGTTTCAACGGCCTTGACAACTTTACTCACTTTTCCGTTTTCTCTTTTCCCCGCTCAATCGTTCCTTCAAGCTTGGTATTCTTTTCCTCACAATTGTTTCTTTTTTTTCATTTCATCTCTCGCCATTTTCTATCTTGCCTTGTTCATAAATTGTCTTTTTTAAGCGTACTATTTCTTTCAGCTGCAATTGCTACTTTAATTTTTTACTCTTTCTCTTTTTTTATTTTTCGTCATCTTTACCATCTTTATTTTTTTTAAACATATTCATTTGCTGAACTAACCAACTGCATGGTTGTCGTCAAACTCGAGAATACTACTTAAATCTTTCGTGAGTAGGCCTCAAGATTATCGTTATTGTTTTTGGCCAAATTTGGGCTGCTCGCGGCGTCCACTATTTTGGTCGCAGTCGCCTTTCTCAGTATCCAAGTGGTTTCACCGGACTTTCCCATAAACGTATCTTTTCCCGAGTCATCCTCTCTTCTGGTCGTGATGCATTTCAGCGTCTTGGGCCATACCAAGCCGACAGTTTGACGCTGGAAATTGCCATGACAACTCGAGCAGAGGAGGTTATCGGGTATCCACCGTGGCAACAGGGCGGGACTGGGAAAACGTGGCCACTTGGTTTACTCGTCAGGTCTTGAGGAAGGTTGATGTACCAGTGTTTTGATCGATCCACGAGGATCTTCGGCGACGGTGAGGACAACGGCGGCCGCGTTGGCAAGAATGAAGGCAACGGTGACGGCGACGGCGATTTAGACGCTCCGACGGTACCGCACCGTGAAATCAGACCAACGAGACGAGGTTAAACAGGGCCGGGCCGGGCCGAGCCGGGCCACGTTTTTGGGAGAGCAGGAAGGCGGGAGAGAGAGAGAGAGTGGGCTCAGCGGGGCTTGGGGAAAGTTGTCGTGAGGACTGAAAAATCGATGCCAGGCGTCTCCCAGTCGGGACATACACGAAGCCGGAATCCCACTAAAGGAGACCTACTGACCCATTAATCAGAGCAAGACTAGAAGACAGAGGTAGAGGGTGAGAGAGAAAGAGAGAGAGAGGGCAAGAGGGTTAAGAAGAGAGAGAGCATGAGAAGAGGACGAGTAAGAGAAAGAGTAGAGCAAGAGAAACGAGGCGGAGAACAGACACGCATCCACGCCTACATATGCACACATGTGAATGGACAGACGGACAGGCAGACATGCAAACAAACAAACAAACAAACAAACAAACAAACGGTTGGCAGGAGAGGGAAAAAGAAGAGAGAATCAGGAGAAAAGAAGCGATAAGGCAACGTTGAAGTGGGCAGGATTGTAGAAACTTGGCCAATTCACTTCCCAACTCGGCTGCTGCAGACTGGCAGGCCGGACAAAGAAAAAGCGTTGACAGTGTACTACTCTTCTACGAGTATGTGAATGTGCCTTTTTGTGCATTTTTGCAATAGATATCAATTAATGTCAGTTAATTTCATTTGACTGAATGTTTATCTGCCTCTGGATGCTGAAATAACGCAAGTACACCGGCCAAGTCAATGGGCACAGCTACCCAACCAACTCATACCAGTCTTTGGGCTCCTGTCTGTTTCTATGCTCCATTGAACATACACACACAGACACACACATACATACATATATATATGTGTAGATATGTGTATGTGTGTATTATATATCTTGAATATCTTGAAAATATGCAGGTTCGCTCATTACGACTTGGCTTCACCGACACGTGCTTATGTATATGATACCTGTGTGTATTCACGCCTGTCTGCTTCTACCCACGTTTGTGCATATGTGTATGTGTGTATGCTGGTTAATGGCGTGCGGGCTTTGCTAAATAGGCGTGTGTGCCTGTGTGTGTGTGTGTGATTTAAGTATGAGCTTATGCGCATTTTTACGAGTTTGCATGAGTTTGCATGAATGTATATATGTATATGTGTGTTTGTGTATGTGTGTTTGTGTGTATGCATGTGGTTGCGCACACAAGTCGGCGTTTTCGACATAACCAGGGTGGCGGAGTAGGAGAGGAGCGAGTTGGACGGCCAATCGAGATGGTTCATCAATTATCAACTGGAGCAATTGAGAGAAAGGTCTAATTAATTCGAGTAACCTTAACCTAATTTATTTCTTCCTCACATGCTTGCTAAGAAGGCATCAAGTGTACTGATATAAATCATCGTTGAAGAGATTATCGATGAATCTGTATGACTGGACTATTCGTGCCCTTATCAGCCCCTCAGGTCTCCACACCCTCACCCCCCTCTCCTCTTCTCTATACAATTCATCTATACAAACACACACACACACACACACGCATACATATACACGCATATATGATCGTATGTGTCTCGCAAAGTTTGTGTGTATGCCGACGGTCGAAAGGGAGGATCCGAGGTGGTGCGCGATTGGGACAAAATCAATGGATCGTCTGAGTCTACTCCCATTTCTGAGGGATAAGTTGTCAATTAAAATTGCTCAGCCAACCCTTCGCGGACCAGTGCAACCCGGTACAACTCGTCTCTTTGCATGTGCGTGGGTGTGCATGTGTGTGTGTGTGTG